CTGGAAAAGAAGAGGAACACCCCAAAAAAATAAAAGCTACGGAGCTTGATAAAGCCCACAATAACTCCTGGGTGCATTCCTGTCGAGGTATGTACATTTGTTCTCCCAAATTAATGCTGGGCCAAGCTGAGGGTTGGGCTCTTTCAGAGCTCTGCAGTGTCTGTGTGGTTGTTCCACAGCTCTCAGGATGCTCCACGGGCAGCTGGCACAGCTCAGCTCCTGCTGCCGACAAACCCAGCTGTGCTGCCTCACAGCAAACACAAACACGACCCTGAATTACCCACGGAAAGCTTTTTGCAGGGCTGGTGAAGGCACGAGGGCTGTGCCCCCTCTCCCCTGTGCGTGCGGGTGCCAGGGCTGCCTGACGCGGGTGCTGAGCAGAGCACGGCACGGTCCCCACGTCACTATCTGCAGCCAAACTTGGCACTGGCCCTGGAGGTGTCTGCCTGAATAGCTGATGTTTGCTCTTTTGAGCATGGCATGCCTTAATTGCAGACAGTTCTGAGCCCTCTGGGAAGGGGAGAGGGATGAGTCATCTCTGTGTAGTATGGTAAATGGGTGTTTTCATTTAAATAAAAAGAAATCAGCCAGAGCTCTCTCAGCGTTAATCTTAAAAGGTTTTACAGTAACATCTGAGAAAAGCTGAAGTGCCTTTTCCACAGTGCTGAGAACGGAGAGAGGACCGATGGATCGGGTTAACAGCCAGCTGATGGAAGTAGAAAGCACACCCCGATATTTTGTCAATAACCATTTATAGCAAGGAACTCTTGACTATCTTCCTGCTTCTTGTTTAACTGAAAAACCACAGCAGCAAGAACTCCCTCATTTTCAAAGCCAAGGAGCTCATCATGCTGTACAAGGACCCTCTCCATCAGCTCAAGGTAATATTTTAGTGAGAAACAGGGGCTGGGGTTTATCACGCAGTGTAACAGCCCAAGAGCCAGGGGTGGGCACAGTCAGAGAGGAATTAAAAATCTTTGTCAAAACCCACAGCACCTTTTCCTTACTATAGCCACACTTGACTAGTCAAGAGGAGAAACAGCCTGTAAGAAAATAACTTAATTTCCTCTGTTGCAGGCAACTATAATATAGGGTGCCTCAGAGTGGAATATACAGTTTTTCATCAGTGTGTCATGTACTAATGTAAGAATTTTTCCCTGTAGATGGGTTCTTGATTAAAAAAAAAAAAAAAAAACATGGACAAATTTGGGTTGGAAAGGACATTAAAGTTCATCTTGTTCATCTTGTTCCAAGCCCCCTGCCATGGGCAGGGACACCTTCCACTAGAACAAGGTTGCTCCAAACCCTATCCATCCTGGCCTTGGACACTTCCAGGGATCCAGGGGCAGCCACAGCTTCTCTGGGCAGCCTGTGCCAGGGCCTGCCCACCCTCACAGGGAAGAATTTTTTCATAATATCCCATCTAACCCTGCCCTCTATCCTGTCCCTCCATTCCTTGTGCCCAGTCCCTCTCCAGCTCTCTTGGAGACCCTTTAGGCACTGGAAGGGGCCCCAAAGCTGCACAGGGTGCTCCAGGGGTACAGGGAGTATAAAAGCATAAAAATCAGATCATCAAAGGGACAGAGCATTGGCCTGTGAGTGAGGCCATGGTGGGGAGGTTATTTCAATCCAGTGTAACGTCTGGAGCAGCTGGAAGATGCACTTCCCTTCCCTGCAGTGTCTCCCTCCAGCACTGGCATGTGTCTGGCCAGGAAGGGAGCTGGAGGCACTGACAGCTCACCAGAGGCTTGTTGATTCATCCCAAGAAGTTCCTGCACGGCTTTAATTCTGCCAGTGACACAGAGGCCCCAGCAAAACCAGCTACAGGTGGGCAGGGATGGGGCAGGGGGAGGAAAGCAGCAGCAGGTCTGTGTTTTTCCCTGGTAATGTGAATTTAAAATATTAAATTGCCGTTAAATAACGGTGATGGGAAGTTGTGAGAACAGGGGACGTTGGTTTCTTTCAGCTACAGGTTTGCTGGGTGAACTTAAAAAAGTTGCTAAATCTTTCCTTTTTTGTCAGTTCCCCATTTAGAATCAAGGGATATTTTTCTGCCCTAAAAGGGTAGTTGTGATGATTTATTTCGTTAGGGGAGTGTCATATAAAGTACATCAATATAAACTAAAATACGCAGAATGAGTTTTGCCCATTTCCTTTAATTTTTGATAACAAGAAAGTAAACGAAATCTTCTGCCCTTCAAAACCAAACAGACTCTTTCTTTGTGTAAAGTGTTACATAAAACTTAGTGGTTGTTCATTTTTATTTTATTATTTTTAATAATACTGGAGATATTTCAGAAAAGGGCAGTATTGTTTCTACAGCATAAAAAAAATCATCATGAGATATCTGGAGGTTTTTTTTTTTTTGCATTTCCCTCTCCCTCCCCCCCTTTCATATTGTTTCCAAAAAACCCCAAACGAAACACAAATCCTATTAGGAAATTTGCCCTCCCACATCCCTCCCCATGAAAGAAAAATATTTTTTTTTTTTTCCAATTTTTTTTTTTTAAAAATCAGTACAGTGTTAAACAAGTCAGGTATTAAGCACACACATGTACGAGCACAGCACATCAGTAACACTGTGAGATGCTTTAGACCACACCGAGCCATCTGTATGTGTATAAAGCCACAGGTGAAGTGGTTCGTAGCAGCAGAACAGGAAGCGTGTTCCAGACAAAGTGTACAGAGTTCCAGATTTTGGAGATTTTTGGGGATGAGTGCAGCACTTCAGAGAACACAGACAAGCTACGGTGGCTCAAGTTTCCCTGTCCTGATTCAAAGGGCAACCTTGACTCATGTAGGGGTTCCCTTTGTGACCGTGGATGGCCAGGGGAGTGGTGGGGCTGCACCTCTTGGCACACGGGGCTGGAAATGTTCCTGATGATTCCTGATTGCTGAAGGGAATACCACAGAAACCAAGGCCAAGCGTAACCTAAGCTGCATCTATATTTGCACATTCTTCAACAGCAAGAAAATATCTTCACATTTGCTCTGGGAGGGAACATAACCGACCCCAAGGCCCATATGTGGCTTTGGGGCTGTTGTTCTGCAACTCTGGTGGGTAAAGACCAGGAAGGGACACTGAATCAAAAATATTTGTGACTCATTAGGACTTCTAAAAATGTAAATTTCTAGGTTTTGGAATGGGCATTTTCTCTATGGCAATAAGTAGCTTTCATTTGTTTCATTGTACTGATCTCATCTGCGGTTTCAGTTCTAGTGAGCATTTCTCTTCCAGGATTATTTTCCCACAAGACAGTGATTTTCAATGGTACCCTCTAGCTCTGGATGGCAAGCTGCAGACTCCCTCTGCGGGAGGCCAGCAGGCACAAGATTGTAGGTCTGTGCCTGCCTAAAGGCAGGTTCCTTCCAAATGCCCTATCCTAAGCTTCTCACAACGGAGACGTGCAAAGGCAAGCAGGACTTACAGTATTTGAAGTAGAGTTGTGGCAGAGAAAATCTCTCTTGGACTCCCACCTTGCCACACGAAAACCCCCTACAAATAAGATAAAATTGAACAGATCTACTAGACTTAAGGATGTTGATGAAAATTCTTTTGAAGAAGTATCAGTAAGGTCTCAAAGAAATGCTGATTTGCAGGTACAGTTCTAAGCATTCAATATTTAGATACACTTAGGGACTTCTAGGGAAATGTTTTCCTGGGAGAAGGCCAGCAGCCACTTCTGTTTCTAACAACTCCAGGTATTTGTATCTATCTGAGCTTTGGTGATTTTGAGTTGCAGAAGTACAGCAGATTTTATGACATTTCTTCGTGGCTGTCTTAGGCTGTTGCTCTCCCTCCAAATACTGTGCAGTGTAGGACAGTGTTCACAAGTTTCTCATAAAACTATTAAATAACCAAAACAGGACAAGAAAAATTGGCAAGGACAAATAATAATGTTTGAAATATTGTCAGAAAAAAAGCCCAACACAAAATAGAGTCTAGAGATTTTGGCACTGGGGCATCTGCACACCTTATGGAACAACCTCCTAGCGTTGGATTCACATACAAAATCAATTTTAAATCAGAGGGAGTCGATTCAGACAACTGATGGAATAAAAGGCCTGATATGACCAATCCAGTACTGCTCACTTTGTGACACAGAGGAGACACAACATTCCCAATTCCTTCATCTGCACCATATATAAATGACCTCCTAGAAATCTTCCTAGAGGTAAAAGAACCACCACTCCAACCTTCCACCAGCTAGACTCCTACTCTGACTTCAGTGCAAGCCTCAACACCATTCAGGGGAGAAGAATAAGTGCCTTTTCTGAGTGTATCTAGAAAGTACCTTGAAGAGAAAATACGGAATATCCTGAGTTGGAAGGGAACCACAAGGATCCTCCAGTCTAAATCCTGACCCTGCACAGGACACCTGAACAGTCCCACCATGTGCCAGGAGAAAACCCACCTAGTGCTCTTTGCCACTGCAGGATCCTTGATTTCTGTTGAGGGGGATGGGTAGAGAAGCAGATGCAGTGAGAGACAGAGGGCACGACATGCAGACCTCTAAACCCGCTCTTTTTCCCTCAGAACATCTCCAAGTCTATAAAAGTAACCTTGATCTCCAACAAACACATCTCACTCCAGAGAATGTAAGTGCCAGGCAAAAATGAAATGCTGGCCACACAGACATTAAAAGCAAATTAAAAGGTTTGGGGTGTTGCCTGAAGTAGTGCACATCCTCTTAGAGACCATTGACCTACAAGAGCAGCAAATAAACTCTATCCAATCTCCAGAAAAACAGTGACTCAGAAGTGGGCCCATTCCACCACATTTTTGACCTTTTGGAGCCCATGGGAGGTGGAAGGAGGATGACAGGAACAACTGAGGTGCTGTCAGGGTCACAAAACTTGGGGTCTGGATCACAAGGAGCCAGGGGACAGAGCCAGCGCCCTCGCTTGGGAAGGCTCTGAGTGCTGCCCACACACCCACAGCGAGATGCAACAGCAGCTCCAAGTCAGCCCCATCCCCTCCTCGTTTCTTCTGAGACAAATAACAGGACAGTCTGGTTCCCTTTATATACATACATGAAAAGCTGAAATGGTCTGAAATGCTTACAGGTTAGAAGGCAGAGATCTCTACAACATCAACACCTGCCCGAAAACAAAGTAGAAAAGTTTTACAGCACATAGTACAGGTCCCTCTAACTTCTAAAAAGGAACATTTACTGAAATCACCATATTACAAGAAGTCATCACTAACAGACCATATAATACTATTTCTTTTTCTTTTACATGATCATTACTTATAATTTTAAAAAAATCACTTTTAAACAAGTATACAGTTTTCACTTTAAAATTAACTGGTTAATAAAATTTTGTGCAAAACAAGCCAGCCTCTATAATTAAGTGAATTTATTTATTTATTTATACAAAAAAAATAAAACAATCAAAAAAAAAAAAAGATAGTTCTTTTAGAAATGTGTTTCCTTTTCTGTGATGGTTGAAATGGTGCCATCTCCTTTCAGTTTGGCATCGCAGTCATTTATTGCTGCTATGTAGGCTCCTCCTCCAAGCTTCCCCCTCATTTTCAGATCTGAGCTGGGTGTAACCAACTTCCTGAATTTCTAGAAAATTGGAGAAAATGGAAATCAGTGCGTTTGTCTTGGTCACGAACACTCATCTCATCAACAGATTGATTATAAAAGCCTTTTCTCTTGCGTGTCTGCTGCTCTTTCTCTGTTCTGGTCACAGCCACAGACTTGCACGCTGCACAATTCTGTACTAATCACTCCAGGCCAAAGGCTATAGAGAATGAAGGCAAATCTAAAGTCAAACTGAGGTTTTATGCTGATTTAGAGCAACATCCCTTTCCATGAAGAAACTCAACTGTTAAACGGGTACATTTTACTCCTCATGTTGTAGGAGGATGTACACTGGAAAAAATAACTGCACAAGAGACACACAAGCGTTAAGCTGAGGAACAAAGCTCATCTAAGAGCTTTCCCTTTTCAAGCAATAATATCCACAAGCTCACAGCTTGGGTAACAGAGATGCTGTGGGAAGGTGGCTTCCCGAGAAGCTTCCAACTGTGATTAAAAAATCCTCTTGACATCCTTGTATCTACAAGATAATGACCTGCCTGCAGTGCTGCAGATTGCACACTTTAAAGACTGTTTACTTGCACAGTTATGTGAGGGTGATGCATAAAGAAAATATTTAATATTTAGATTTGTGCAAATTTCCTTTTTTGACATGCTAAGAAATCTGTATTATGGAAAATTGATTTTTTGTTTGTGTACCCACAGTAAAGATTTCCCAGGCAGTCTCCAGGCCATCTTTATTCAGCTATATGGATATAATTAGGCTTTTCTGCAATAATCCAAATGGATGAATCAAGTTTATATTCTCTTTTCTTCCATTATTACCATCTTCCCTGTTTTTCTTTGGACTTTCCACAGAAATGAACATCCTTTCAAGTTTAAAGGTAACACATTTAGTAATCTTAACCTCAGCCTAAACCTGAGCTAACCTGATACCAACTGTCAGTAAACTGCACTGAATATTTCTATTTGCCTGTATTTCTCATTCAGGGAACTGTAATTAGGAAAACTGTCCAGAAAACACATGTGAGTGCTACCCAGCTCCTGGGGGGAAATCCTGGCACCACAAACATCAGTTACCAAAACCAGCTGAGGTTTTAAAGGCAGCTGAGCTGAGGAAATGGATGGTGCAAACCTCCTTGATGATTTAGCTGATGTTACAGAGATTTTAAGCTACAAATTGAGCTGAAACAGAGCACCATAAAGCTGAAGGTAAAAACAGGTTAAAAAAAAAAAAAACCAACAGGATTTCAGAAGAAAATAGAGAAAGTTCAGATCCCTCTTTCCAGCACTGACTGAGAGGGCTAACCCAGGCTGCCACCGTAACAGGGGTATGGCATTGCTGCTTTGAATAAATTCCTGGGCTCCCACACGTGAGGATTCACACCCCTTGCCCTGCTCTTTCTTCAGCATCAGTAATCTGAAAATATATCTCACCTCCATGACAGTGCCTTCTGTCTTCCACAGCTTAATGCAGATCCACAAAGGGATACAGACCATGGAAGATAGTGCCATCATCCACCCTATGCCATAGCCCCAGTCAGGGTATATATACACATTGTTGTATTTCAGAGGCTTGTATTTCACCAGAAAAAAGATGAAGATTCCCTGAAACAAGCAGAGACAATTATTAGTGGTATTTGAGAAAACCCTGCCTGCGTAACAAGGTAGTGACTGAGTATTTAGGCAAGGCCAGGCTCCCTGAGGAGGCAAAACTCTTCACTCAGAGAAATAAAATCCCCAGCAATATCTCCTTCTATGTACAGCTTAAGCAATGTATCTCAGTCGCTCCCGCAGGAACGAACAACATTTCAAGTTTAAATCCTATTTACCTCTTGGTGACAATAAGTCCTGCACTTTGATGGCAAAGAGTACCTGGGCAGGAAAGATTAGGCTTTGCTACCTGAACCAGCTGTTATTAGGTAACACAAGCTATGTTCTCTCTAACCTGATGAACAAGGAAAGCCAAAATTTTCAAAGCTGCCTTAATCCACTGTGCGTATCTGCAGTTCTGCAGGACAGTGCTTTCATCCTCCCAAAAGCTCCCATAGATCCATCTAAATTTGCCAGGTGTCCAATCAAGCAGTTTGGACCATTTGTATTTGTGAAATATAGAACAGCTACCGTGCACTTTTGTCCGGAGTGGTTAAAGGAGAAAACGGGATGAAGTTCATTTCAGAGCTGGTGACGAGTCAGAAATTTTCTCAGGTTTCAAAAGTGAACTGGCAGAGCCCAAGGAGCAAGTTTATGGACAGTTTGGTCGTGCTGCTTTTGTAACTTTGCCCCGTTGTGCAGACACAGCTCACCACAGTGGGCACCAGTACTGCCAACTTCTGCTATGGGCAAGTTCCCTCCCCTTCTTCATGCACATGGGATGTGCTTTGGGCCTCTTCTGCTTTCACTGGAAGAAAAAATGTCCTGTCTCCTTTGAAAAATGTCTATTTACTCAGAGAGAGAGGAGAAAGGAGGCTGGAGCAGCAAAGGAACCAGCACAAGTCTGGAGAAGCTCAAGCTAAGTGCTAGTACTCGAGGTGTCCTGACTCTGCAGGGAAAAACACCTCTGTTGTACTGGCAAATATTTGGTTAGGGCTCTGGGATTCTTTCTTTCCCTATGAATGTGCATGCTAAGGTTTCTCACAATTCACAGAACGTTTAACAATTTTTACAGAACCTACAGAGGGATTTTTATTTGAGATATATGCTACGAATCAATAGGCACTTTTTCTCAATTATTATTAGCAACAAAATTATAAATCCATGTACAAACCCCCCCTCTTTATGTCTAAACCAAATCATTTGTATATTCTGTACTTACTGCACAAATACCTGGAGTTATGACCATCCAGCACCACTTAATCAACGACAGGGGTTTGTACCCAATCATATCTTCAATGTTCTCATAGAAGCGATTGCTGCCTGCCCCAAAAAAGAACCAAGAGAAAAGCAGATGTAGAACGTACACTAAGGGGTGGCACAGCCAGTATTTTCAAACAGTGAGGAGCAAACCACAGACAGAGCTGTGAGGACTGAAGCTGCTCCCTCTCCCTGACACACCTCCCTGCCATCTGCTTCGTGCTGCTGGCACAGAGGCTGCTGCCCAGCCCTGTGTGACCAACAGGAACTGCAGGAAGGAGAGGCAGCAAAGCAGTTCCATGGTGAAGGTGGAGGGCAGTCCTGACTAGGACCAAGGGGGAAAATATAAACATTTATTCCACTCTCTTGTTCATTTAGAGAGGAAAAAAAGGCATTCCCGACTTTCAGCAGGGCATGGGAACGAGGAGGACCCCACTCCACGAGGGTACAAGGCTTCCACTTTGCTTTTACACAATAAGAAAACTTCTATGAGAAGCGAAGACAGCAGGAATTTTCAGGCACTCACCGTACACCCAGCCTATGCAGACACATTCAAATATGGCAACAAAGAGAAGGCACATGCCACTGGCTGCATAGGAGTCAAACAGCTGAAAGACATACATCCCCCCCTGGAAGACAAAAAGAGGAAAGGCAAAAAAAAATATTGTGTTGGCAGCAGCGGGAATATTCCATAGCAAATATGCTTCAGTTACACAGTCAATCTGTTGGTTCTCTGGCAATCTTCCTACTCAAGTTGGTTAGTTCATGAACAAAGAATATTAATTTCTCAGTGATTTTCTTATTGTGAAAGATTATTTCATCTGTTATCCCATCGAGCTGCAGACATCCTCTGGTGCTGCACGTGAAGATGCAGGGTCTTGGTTCCATGTCTGTGCTATTCATATGTAAAAGGATTAGTTAAAATGTGGGGACAGAAGGTAAAATCTGTAGCTACAAGAATCACTCTACAAGGATGTAGGGACTGTGAAATGAATAAACTGACCTCTACAGTTTGACAGTAGCCCACAGCCTTTAAGCCACATTACTGAAATAAATCATTATTACTTGACACACATCCAAAAATAAGAGTCATCCAATTGGAAACATTATGGATAACCTGACAACTAAAATTACATGAATTATATTGCACTACTTTATGTGAGAGATACTTCATCTTTTATAGCATATAAATTCTATATTGAAATAATGAGGAGGAGATTCACAAAGAGCATTTCCACAGAAAGGAATTCTAAGACTTCCCTCTGCAGAGAGCTGTGTAAAGGAAACAGGGGCTCGAGATCAGCCCTTCAGTTTGAGTGCAATGCTGTTTGGGGAGCACGTGGGATCCATTGCATCTTGGACAATTTTCTGCAAGTGGAAGAGAACTCTAAAAACATGAAGAAAACTGATTCTCTACTGCAAAGGGCCCATGGTGAGGCTCAGCAAACACCTGAGCAAACTGCAAACTTAGAGGTCTACCAACATAGTATAATATAAGGACAAACTCCACAAAACTCCTGCAAGAATATTCCTGTTAGCTTGGAGAGCTTGCATCCTCTTCATGCTTATTTTTCTTTTAACCTGTATGTCTCATTAATATGGCTTTCAGTGCTGTGCTCAACACTTGCATTGTGGGAGGGATTTATTTCAAGATTTCCCATTTTATGTAGCAAAGACAATTTGTCTTAATGAAGGTAAGAAGGATTACAGGTAAGTATAAATTATATAAACATTTAAAGCTTCTCTTCAACTGCGTTTGCTTCATACAGAACATCATACAGGGATGTCTGATTAGTCTGGCAAGACTTGGGACTAAAACAACATTTTATTTTGTCCTAGTCTCCAATTTCTTCCCCATCTTTGTCTTTCTTTCCTTAAAAGTGCATCTAAGTCGAATATATTTGTTTAGTTCATTTATTCTCTTAGTTGTAAGGACTTGTGTACTGAGAACAGCAGACTAGCGTGTTAAAATCACCAGACTCGTCTTCTGGGTGAAATATGCTTATTTTCAGCAACACAGCAGTTGGAAGAGCACACAGTGGATCTCTGTGGAGGGAACTGCAGTGTCCCTGGATGAGTTGGCAGCTGCAATCACTGCACAGCAGAGACACGTGGTGGCCCCACACGATCAGTACAGCCAGACTTCCTCAGGCACTGCATCCTGCAGCTCCTCAGGCATGGAAGGAACTTGGTCCTGCTGGATACTGGGAGGCCTTAATGGCCCAGCCAGGAGAAATACGGGCAGAGGAGAGCGTGGATTCTGCCCCTCTCCTTCCTGTCCTGGGAGGGGAAGGTGAAGGAGGTAGAGGCTGTTGATAAAAAAACAAGTGCTGAACTCCTACCAAGCGCCAGAGGGTCTTGGAGTCCCTCCCCAGCCTGGCTGGCAGACTTCATGAACTGATGGGATCAACTGACACCCTTGGAATTCTTGGTTCAGAACATCCGGAAGCAAACATGTTGGTTCATTTGGAAAAAAGAATTCTTTTTTTTCCCTGCCCTCCCTACTCTTACCAAACCAATTTCAGCTCAGAGATGTGCTGCACTGATTGACCTGGCCTAGTGACATAAAAACCAATGATGTTTTAATTTTCTCTTCTCACTTTACTTCAACTCCATTATTGATCTTTCCATCCAAAATGTGGTTGTTTCTGCCCAAGGTAAGTCAGCAGAAACCATGGCCAGTGTGTTTGGTTGGCTGGTGGAAAGCAGATGGAATCTCCTATGTATGTTTAATTAAAATATTTCCTAAGCTCAACTGGAAAACCGAGGAGACCTTTTACATTTCAGATGTTACACAGTAGCTGAGAATACTCTCTCAAGTATTTCGCAGTTTTATTCCTGACAGGGAAATTTGTCCTTGTGCAAATGTCCTTCCTTTTAATCCGCTGTGGTGATAAACAGAACCCCGTTCCCTTCTCTCTGCAACAACGCACCTCTTACCTCAGTTAACATTATGAGGCCAAGGAAATACGACACAATGGAGAGGCCAAGGATGAGCAGTTCTCTCCTGTAGCCCCTTCGGAACACCTTTGGGTACATGTCCACAACAGCTGTCACGATGCTTTCCACGCACACGAACTGCAACACAGGGCAGGAAAGCACAAGTGAAACCTGTGTCTCCTCTGCTGCTCACGTTTGGATTTGCTACCAAACCCTTCAAATATCCTTCTGTGGTTTCACCACAGGGAGCAGATTATCCCTGAGGGGGCTCAATAAGTAGGAGCTCAAACACAGAGGAAAACCTTTTCACAATAAAAACTCCCAAGTCAGGGATTTCCAGTCCACCACCAAATCCAAACAGTTGAACACACAAGTGTTACCCCAGAATGCATTTGCCCCGTAGCAGATGGCTTAAACAAAAATTAAGTCTTCCAAATGTGGCTTAAATTGTGTCACAGGTTTACTTGTTCTAAAAAACCAAGTGGGAATTTTTTTTCTTTCTTTCTCCTGTATCATTACGAAAGAGGGATGTTGAATGAGGGAGGGAGGTTCTTTTGGCTGTGGTGATTGACACACACAGAAGAACAGGTTTTTGGAGACATTCTCTCCATTTACCAGAAGAGAGAAGTTCCACAAAGCCGTTGAGTGCCCAGTCCAGGTATTCTGATAAGGAGTGGGGGAACACTCACTCTGTCTTTTAACATCAGCAGAAAGCAAGAGGCCTGAGCTTCTGAGCCAGGGCTTTGGAGCAAGGTTTCTAAAGTAGGAACCAAAACTAATGCCCAAAAGTTGGCAATATAAAGCCTGTTTCATTGCTCAATTTAAAAAGAAAAAAAAATAAAAAGAAAAAAAGAAAAAAAAAAAGAAAAAAAAAAGAATACTTTGAAAAATCTGTGAGATCAGGAAAAAAAGAGCAGTTACTAAAACATCAAGTTTAGTGATTGGAAATGCCAGGCAAAATAAAGCACTGATAAGCTTTATTCTACAGTATATAATGATAAATTTTCTGAACCCAACCATGCCAAGAGTTGAACTCCATGCTGAAAATTCCACCCACTTTACATTTTTCTTCAAGCAGCTTTTGCATTTTTTATGGTCACACAGGATGGACAAATTCTATGCTGCCCCTTTGCTGCAGGATATGATTATATATATATCTTGCTGCAGCATCTTGAAGTAAAAATAAACCATAGAAAATTACATTATCACTATCTGATATTCAGTTTCAAAATTCATTGCAAAGTGCTTTAAAAATGGGGAAAGAGGACACACTGGCATTTTACTGAACTGTGAATTTTAATCATCCCTGTTTAAGTTCAAACTGATTTCCATGTTAATAATGAAAGCTGGAGAGAAGCTGAACCAGCCTTCAGAGTTAATCATGAAGAAATCTCCAGCACCACACAACTGAGATTTAAAATAGGAACTTGAATTAAAGCTCTCAAGCGAAGAGTTAAGTTACTGTTGGGTTTTAAATCAGGTTAGATGCTGTTTACACCCAGGGTGCTGATACCCACATTCCAGGGAATCTGACAGGACATTTCAATAGTGTGGTTTTTTCATACCTGACTATCTAATCCAAGGAATATGAGCATCATGAAGAACAGAGCTGCCCACAGCGGAGAAAGAGGCATCATGGTTACAGCTTTAGGGTAAGCTATAAATGCAAGTCCTGGTCCTGAAAATGAAGAGAAGAAAGGAAATGGTTTATTCTTGTGTGTGGGTCTGGCTGGGCTGGAGTTCAGTTCCTCCAGAGCAGCCTGTGCAGTGCTGAGGGTGCCACAGCTTTGCTGACCCCAACATTGTATACATCTGTATAAATCAAGCAAGTCCTCAGGGCACTTCCAAAGACTTCTCCCAAAAGCTGTTTTCTCATTACCTTAATAGCTACAGTGTTTTTTTTCCTTATATACCCTTTCTATTTTTTAGTTTCAGAAGGAAAAAAAAGTTGAAAGAAAACAGAATGCAGATGAGGATGAGAATGTAACACAACTGAGGTGCTAAATAATCAGCTGGACTAAGTTTGTGTAACAGTGGCTCTTTGACTTTAGGAACTTGGTACTGTCATGTTAATATTTTTTCACGTTAATATTTTTCACACACAAATGTCTGGCTGAAAGAATAGTTAAGAAGTTTTTCTAATGAGTTGTCTTCTCCACAAGCCATGACACAGACTAAGAACTTTGACTACAACCTGTGAGCATTTTTTGTGAACTCAGAAAACTGGTTTTGGAACTTACCCGACTCTGCAACTTCTGCAATGGGCACGCCTTGTTCATAAGCCATAAATCCAAGAACTGAAAAGATAGCAAAACCAGCAACAAAACTTGTGCCACTGTTCAAGCAGCAGAGCATGATGCAGTCTCTGAAAATATAAATAAAAAACACTGCTGTTGATCTCCAGAGCAGGGGTTTTCCTTCATACACTGAGCCACAGGACTGACAGAACCCCAGGCTGCAGGAATGAACAGTAGATTGATTGCTCATTAAGAGTAAGCTCCCAACTCATATTATGACTGGGAGCAACCAGTCAGGAATAAACATGTGCAGGAGGATGCCATCATAAAACCCTGGCTGTGTTTTAACTGGTGGAATTGCAAACCTGTTTGCTCTTTTCCAATGGAACCCTTAGAAAACATTTAAAACTATCACAGGAATGGTGTTAGGAACTCCAGAGTAGTTGCAATAATATATTCCAGAGGGCGTGAACTCATTTATAAACTACATAAAGTTGGTATCACTATTTTCCTGAGAAATAAAAACAAATCCTGTGGTCACATCTTAGCTCCTTCTATTCCAGGTATACTGGCAATACATATCCATACAAAATACAACTCCAGTATGGTTTATAGCTTTTTTAAGAAGCTGTGGGTATGAAAAGAATTGCAGATAGTCTAGGAAATGTGTGGATGCCTGAAAAAGTGCCCAACAAGGGCCAAGACTGTGTAGGGACCTCTCAGACAAACATATCCTACCTATCAAACTGTGACAATGACAAGGCCAAGGTGAAGAAGCGTTTCTTTCCCCAGAATGGAAACGTCACAGAAGTAAATCACTTAAAAAAAAAAAAAAAAAAAAAAAAAAAAAAAAAAAAAAAGGCAAGATATTCTTGCAGCAAAGTGCGATTTTCCCCCAGAGCTCAGTGAAATATCGTTGTACATCCTGCGCTCAGACGGCTCTGCAGGCGTGAGGGACGAGGGGGCAAGAATGATTTATCATGACAGGCAGTCTGATAGGGCTGCTCGCCATGAGAGAGAGCTGTGTGCTTGAGAAAGCAATGGTCTAATCCAGATGTCTGAGAGTAAATTAGGATCTTAAACCACTGAAACACAAGGCAAGCCTGGAGCTGCCTCAAGCTTATCCTTTAGTCTGGTTTATTCCCATCCTACTACGGCTCTGAAACAAGTTTTTGCACAAGCTATCAGCTGGAAGAAAGGACCCTGTAAAATTCACAGCTTCAATAATGGTTCACATCTTTGTCATGGATCTGTAGGGACTTTTTGAGAATCAGAAACAATTCATGCTTTAAAGTCCTGGCATATATTCCTGCAAAACTCCTTTTCTTATCTCTGTGTTTTGTGGCAGGTTTCACAGAGTATTTTTATCCTGTAACTTCATCTCATGAGTTGATGGAGTTAGGTCACCAGGTCCAGCATCTTGTTCCTTCAGTAACAAGCCCCACACTGCCTCACATCTCTCCAGATACCAGCTTCTTGATACCAGTTCACACTCACCTGAGCATCAGACACACACATCATTCCAACTGGCAGGGGAGCAGCCTGACATTTCCGTGCTGCAAGGTGAGAGATCAACTCAACCATGGCCAAAGGGCCACGAGAGGCTTGGGTTCTCTCTCATCACTTTAGCTACAGTTAATTTAAACCATTTTTTAAGAAGGTTTTGTGCTATCATAACCATTTCATAGTAAAAAAAAAAAAAAAAAAATTATATATATTTGTCACATCATCTACAAATCACCAAAATGTGCCAGAAATGAAAAATTTGTGGATTAATACTCAGACATGGACCATCTTGAACTCCCTCTAACCCTGTTTATTGTCAAGGGTAAATAGATTCCTTAATCAAATAGAATCTAAAAGAAAGGAACCAGGAGCACAGAGTTCTTTGTGCTTTACAAAGAAATAAAACAAAGTAAACCACCACCACCTTCCTGACCTTCTCAGTGCATTTCAGCTCTGCAGTAAGCTGGGGAGGGATTCTCACTGCAGCCTCTCTCACCTCAGAAACTGGTGAGTTCAGTGCTGAGAAATTAAAACTGAGTGTGATGAAAACCTGTCGATAAGAGAGGTCAGAAAGATGGATTTTTTTTAAAAACCTCTGAGGGGGGGGAAAGAGAAACTACTTCAGTGGGATGGAGGTGGCTGTTCACCAGCCACATGATGCTTCCACTTGGCACAGCCTGTTTTCTGCAGATAAGATTTATTTTGGATAATTCTCAGGCTTCAAATGCAGTCCAAACAGCAAGGTTGGTTTGTTTTTTTTTTTTTTTTTTTGCTGATGAATGATGGCACAGGACATTCGAGACTGCTGGTCTCTAAGCATGAGATAAAGGCTGGAGGTGGAGACAGATCACTCCCTGTGCACCTTCAGAGTCCCTGTCTGTGTCTGCTGCTCAGTCTGGAAGGAAGGTCCAAGTGGTTTGAGCTGGACTATCCCACTGAACAAGAGCATCACAGGCATTCCTCCACTCACAGGGAAGTCCTAAAAACCACAGCACCACGGCCCAAAATATCCAAAGGGCAGGTACAGATTTCTCCAAGGAAATGGGCAAAAAGGGCAACCTAAGGGGATTTTCATCACCTCCAGTACCTGTTCTCTTCACATAACAGAATCATTTTCATCTCCTAGTGAAGCAGTGACAGACCAAATGCAGGTTCTCTGGGAACCCACCAGTGTTTCCAGTCCTATAATCTCCAATTTTAATTTCCATCCTTCCTTTGCCTTTGCAGGAATTCTGCTAACCCCTCAATTCCTGGTTTTTTTTCCCTATAGACAAGATGTGTGTAACCCACAGTTTAGTCCTTTTTTGTTATTTTGGGAAAAAAAAAATTGAGAGGGGTGGTCTGGATCTGTTGGTTGTGAAACAAATAAACTTTAAAACACAAATGCCCAAGAACTACTGGAAGGACACCAGGAATTTTTTATAAGCACCCTTGGTAGAAAGGCATCAAAGCCTGAATGAAGGCCAAACTGATTTCAAACTTTTATGAAAACATCACATTCTTCCAAATTAAATTCTTGCCAATCACCTGAATAATTCAAGACATGCATCACTTCTCCTCTCCCTGCCTGAGAGGCAGGACACTGCTGAAAATTCCTGCTGCCTTCCTTAAGGAGCTTCTCTGAGCACACAGAGCCCTTTTCATCGCTTGGGTTCCTTCCTTGCCTGTGTGGATCCACTCAGGACAAATTCACATTCCTCTTTTCCTCCTAGACTAGAAGTTTGATAAAGGACACACATAAAGTTCTGCCCCATCTGCTGAGATGGTCTGAAGTTAAACCAACCCTTAAGATGCTCTGAATGGATTAGGAATTCTGAGCTTGGTAAAAATTAAAAGAAATATCAGTACACCTTTCTCTTATTTATGAGGGGAAAACGCTGCCTGGTGATGGCACTGCCACTATTTTCATCTTTCACAAGAGTTGTTTTTAATATAAAGGGTGGTAAATCCAGGGAGAGTTTATATTTATGTGTTACTATGAAAGTTAAATAAGGACAATGAAAAGTAATTTCCTATTCAAAAAAGCTAAGTGACTTGCTCACAATTCATCTGCAATGGTAATGAATTAAATCAGGTTTGAATCTTAAATTCACAAGACCCTCGTGCAGTTTAGATTTCTCATTTTCCACTAAAATACCTCATGTCATCCTTTTCCACAGCAACTTTCCCCCAGGAAAAAAGTGTAGGAAAACAGAGGGCAAAAAAATCAATATTATGATCAGACAAGGAACTGCAGGGATTGCAGGAGGAAAACCCATATCTTGATTTTGATTTTTTTTTTTAAGTAGTAGTTAAAATATAAATTTAATTCTGCTTTTCACAGCACAGCTGCTTAGTATATCTTGCCCTGCTCAACTCAGCTGTTCTCTGCACTTAACTGCTGTCCTAGTCCTTCCTTCAGATTTCTTAAGAATCCCCTGTCAGGAAACACTAAAAATCTATTTCTTATTTGGGAAATGTTTTGGGGTCAGAGAGAAGGAAGGAAAATTACATCAGCACACACATCAGAACTCCTGCTTTTTGTAATGAGTTACAGAAGAAAACCTAGGAGAAAGATCACTGCAGTCCTTGAGATAGTGACACAGTAGTTTCTAGATGGGATGCAACTAGAAAGAAATAAAAATAGGATTAAATAAGAGAGAAAAGGAGCGGTGCTTTTGTTAAAGCATCGCTTGTGCTAATCAGGGAAAACACTCATTAGCAGTTGCTCTGTAGGGGCATCGCTATTGTTTATCAGCTCTGAAGGTTGTAGGGGATTTTCACCACTTCCTGCAGCAAAACATTTGGAATTTGGGCTGTCAGAGCCAAAGCAAAGAGGAACTTTGTGGCTGCTAAGTTATGTTGCATGTTTAGATGTTAAAATGCCCTTAATTCTGGCTGGATGGCTTTGCAGACATTTAGCTGGTGGATACATCCCCTGTATTTTCCAGGATTCCAGTCCCCTTCCAACCCTCCCTCTGTGGGTCGTGTAGGTCGATGTTTCTCTGACAGAAGAGCAAATATGGAAAGAAGGAGGCATTTCCTAAAACTCTCCAGGTAACACCGTAATTTAGAATTTAAACACTTACACTTTCGGGGCTTTAAGGGGTGATGTGTTTGGGGTTCTTTTGCTTTTGGACTGTATTGTTTCCTTTACAGAAAAGTGAAATTTTAATTCTCTTTCTGTAAACCCTAATGGACTCAACACAAAGTATCCTTTACTACCTAGTAGGAATTGTAGGAAAATTAATTCACTCACCACTGATGCCAGAATTAAAAAGTATTGCTGGTATTCCTGCCCATGCCAGTAACGTGGAAGGAGGACTTTGTGAGAATCATATCCTTTTGCCATCGATTCAGGAAAGATTAAAACCTCCTGAGGTCGTTAGCAATTCCCTAACAGAGGGAATTCTATAGAGGTAAGCCATGAAATGCTGCCCATTCCCTCTGTGCTTGCAAACTATGGGCTAAGGTGACACTCAGAGTGTAGACCAAACTTAGGTGAGTCTTAAGAGAAGTTTTTGAGTGGGATTTTTTTTTTTTTAAAGCAGATCAAACAACACGTCCAGGTGCAGTTATACATGTATGGAATTCTGTGTTTTCCCATCCATTGTGTATCCCTGTGTGTACCGAGGGGCTCATAAGGGTCAGATGTGATCCAAAGGGATGAAAACCCCAAATTTTGGAGAGGAGTTCCTCTGAGGCAGTTATAAGAAACGTTAGAGGTCTCTGTTCTACAAAAATGCTTATGAATATTCATGCAAACAGTTCAAGGAAAAGGGAAGCAGTTCCAAGAGAAGCAGGGTGTGTGGACACTTCCAGCACTGAAAACAAAAGCAGAACAAAAGTGTGGAAGGAATTACCTGTAGCAGTTGTTGTTGTAGTTGTTGTAACTTCCCAGGGCTGTCAGGCACCCCAAGCAGATGGCATAAGAGAAGAATATCTGTGTGCCAGCATCCACCCACACCTGGGGACACAAAACATGGAGTGCTTAAAAAAGGTCAAGAAGAAATCACCTTTAGGCATATACTGGCTGTGAATTTGCAGAGCCAACTCTACAGGTTAAGAGAGTCTGGGAAACCTTTCACAAATCACAACCTTAAAAAAAATATTATTTGAGTTCAACCTAATTGATGTAGAAAGCGAGACAGAACTTCTGGAGATGAACCTCAGGCAACATAAATTATTTAATGGCTTTATTACCACTATAAGGTGTCAGCTATTGCAACCCAAACAAAATCATCTGCGTTTATCTCATTCCCATTTGATAGGTATTTACTCAAATTAAAAAATCTAGTGTGAATAAATATTCTGAAGACAAAATGTTCTGCTCACAGACAACTTATGAATTAAGCTGGGTAAAGAGAAGGGTAACTTATCCAGGGAAAGGAGGTTTTTAGCAATACCTAGGGGTTCCAATCAGGCATGAAACCATGGTTCTAGTCACTGTACAACTGACAAATAAAAGTTTTGAAGAGTTTAACAAGTTAGTAGCTTTATCATATCATTATGGTAACATTTATATCCTAAAGTGTTGCAGACACTTAATTCTAAATCAGGGAAAAAAGCAAAATGAAGCCTCAGCTGACACAGATTCTTCTCCTCACAGCAATCTCAGAGCATTAATAGGCAATTTTTTTTTACTTTAAAAGTACTCCAACAAAGCAGTTGGTTTCATTTGGTGTGTTCTCATTTGGGGGTGAATGCACCCTTTGAACTCCTGGTTTGGCCATGATAAGGATGTGTAGAATCTACATCTACACTATTATCTCCAATAAGTTCCTACTCTTGGTTTCCTGGGATAAATGATCTCTGTAAGTTTTTTTTTTTTTGTTGTTGTTAAAGCAGAGCAATCAAAGTGCTTTCCAGAGAAGTACCGAGACTGATAACCAGAGGCAATGGCTGTGCAGCAGGAAAAGAGGGAAAACAGGAAACACAGGTAATGACTTTGTGACTAATAACAGCAATCAAATACTCCGTAAATACAGGAAGGGGATGTGTTTGTTTTACATGTGATCAAGTGAGACCTTGGTCTCTGGAGTCGCCGAGTGTTTCTGTTGAGAAATAACATTAAGATCACATTTGATTTACATCAGTGGCTTAAATGCTTTCATTCCTGTCATACCGAATAAGACACAGCCGGGTTACATCCCAGAGTTTCACCACTCGGTAAGGAAAAACTGCACAGGGAAAGGCTTTTGACAGACAGGCTCTTTAACAGGATTGGAAGCTCCCAAAAAGCTGCGAGTAGCAGAGGTCAACTGAAAATGCACGGTCTTGTGAGGCACAGACAAAAGCTGGGAAAGTGGATCAGCACGAGGATCCTTCCCTTTCCGTTCTTCCACACTGCACTGGAGCAGGGCATTGTGAAGCACTCAGATGAGCAACAGCCTTTCCTGTTGGCATCCACCAGCCCCACATAAGTCTGATTATTTCTTGGACCGCAAGTCCTAGTGGAAATGGGGGCAAAGGAGAACTGGATTCTGAGGTGAGAGGCTCCAGAGCTGCTGTAGAAGAGGGGCAGGGAGCACATCCCTCTGGAGGTCCTGTGTACCCAGACAGAAAAGCAGATAAAATTCTGGCCAGAGGTGATATTATTTCCTACAAAGAACACAAGTCTGCTCTAAACACCATGACATCCAACAGTGATTCATCCTAAAAAGTGGCAAACACTTTATGAGAAACTGTTCTGCAAGCAAATGTTCACATATTCTGTAGAAGTTCAATTAGACCGAAGAGCCATATCATTGCACTATATCACATCATATGGCACAGTCATACTCTTGCACTAGAAATTCCATCAGAACTTATGGCTGATGTTTAAACAGGAAGGGGGAAGTAATTTTATTTTCTGTATGGGATAATAGAATCAGCACAGCTTCTTTTGGGTTGTATGCTCAGAGAACCAGTAACATTTAATTTGTGATCCCCATTAATACTTCAATTTCAGGTTTCTGAAATGGCAAAAACTGATCAACAAAGCAGAAAATAGGGAAATAAATTTAGGAACCACAGGAAGATTTTTGGAAGCTGGAAAAACATGAGAGCTGGATTAACTCTGGAGTATTTTTGCCACAAGCCCGGATGTGTCAACTCTTCAAAGCCATGCAGTTGCTATTTTTTTATTTCATCTCATATAAAAGGTTTTCAAGCCAAAACAAGATTAAAATTAAAGCACTAAACCTTTATTATACGCTAATATTTAAAAAACCCCCAATGCCAGAGGGCAGAATCTTTATATCTCCTGTGCTCACATTTAGCCATTCTCTGGCCACGCACTGAGCCCAACAGCACAGCCACTGCTGCCACTCCTGGAATGGGAATTATTCCTGCTGGCTCAGGGCTGTTCACCAAGCCCATGGAATGGAGCTCTGTTCCCAAAGAGAGAAGGGGATATAACCAAGCCTCAACTTTATGGTAGTGCCTGCTTTCTCCAGGTAGGAAGGAGGCAGGGCAGTGAGAGACTGTGTCTCCACTTCCCAGTTTCTGAGTGGGAAGGGAACAGCAGAGCTGTCTGTGCCCTGATCCCCACTCTGGGGCTTTCCCACACTTCATTAACAGCTTTCCTGACTCACACCATGAGCTCACACCCAGCAGCCTCAGCATGATAACTCCTGTTGGTACAAACAATCCCACAAGACAGAACAAGAAGGAATATTTTTTCACTAAAAGAGCAAAGTTTGCAAAATTCAGCTGGCAACACCCTCATATGAAGTCAGCCCAGGTAACCTTAATTTGGCCTTCTTGTGTGTAGGTCTAGGACACAGCCTTCATTTACATTACTGTTCTTCTCTCTGCCTGGGGAGATGAAGTGAGCTGGCCAATCCTGATGTCTGGAGCATCCCTTGCCTCCTTTGTTGCCATGATTTTAGCTCATGTAATGAATGAAGGATAAAGAAGAAAGAAGGTGGCTGTGCTGCAGGGAAGACAGCAGAACACTGCCCTGGAGAATTCAGTTCTTTTTGTGGCCCTGCTCTAGAGTTTCTGTGTGATTTTATGTCCATAAATCACTTCAACCAACGTTTGAGAATGTTCATTAATGGAGTTCTCCTCTTTTAAATGGTATCCAAACCGAAGTGCAAAGTTACTGAGCACTCACTGTTACAGTTAAGGTGAATGGAAGGCATGTCTTGAATAACTTAAAAAAAGGCAGTACAGAAAACCAATTTCAGACTGAAAATCCCAACAAGGATGAGGTTCTCTCAGTTTAGTCTCAATGTCAGTAAGATGGGGTCGTGCCATACAATGAAAGCAAAATAACTGAAGTTTATGAAGTGTTTAGACAGTGCAGAAAAAAATCACTTTGAAAGGCTGAGCCATTCTTTGTGATGATCCAGCTCTATATGTGGCACATTTACAGGGCCAAGCGATGAGAGAAAAGGATAAAACAAAATATTGCATAACTGTCCTGAAATGAGCTTAGCTGGTGCTGTACTCAAATAAAGCAGAGACCTTAGGGAAAACATGTTGTGTGTTGACACCAATTATTTCCAAAATGTATGGAATAAAAATTAGTGTTGCTCACCTGAAGGAATATAATTAAATTCCAGGGTTTTCCCTAACTTTGTACCTTCCCTTTACTATCTATTTTCCATACACTGCTATGCAGCTGTTATGAAATCCCCCCATGACTGCAGGAAATATCTCCCAGGATAAACTGACTTTAACTGGCACTTCCAGGAGCTTCTAGAGTCGTGTCAAACAGCAGAATAACTCAAAAGGTGTAAAATTGCTTTGTGTCTGAGGAACACGGGAAAAATAGGCAGCTATTTTTAATCTGATCCTCCTAAAAGGTATTTAGGTTGGGTTTTTCCTACAGCCCCCAGCTGCAACATTGCTGTTAGAGATGATGCACATCAGGGCTGTTAATGTTTGCACCCACACGGCTCAGTTTGCTCCCTTGAGTATTCCTATAAAACCCAGGGGGATTAATTGCACGCTGACACCCGAGTACTGGCTGGAATATGCACTCCAGGGGAGGAGCATCATAAATATGTACTTTTTTTTCCACATTTTTAACAGTGAGATTGGACACCCCCTTGAGCTGCAAAGCTCAAAGCACCCTTAACTGCAGGGTGGTTAATGACAACCCCGTCATGAAGCCCCTTCTGAGAACATGGGACACCTCACAAGCCAGTTCAGCGCTGCACTCGTTCTTTAAAACATGATGTTCCGGGTGTTGACAGTCATTTGTTTCCCATTTTGTTATCAGAGAAGAAGCAATCACTTCAGGTTTTCTTTTAATTTAAATTATTCATTACTTTTTGATGAATCTCAGCAGTGTTTGTATTTTAAGGAGCGGATTGCCTTTGGTTTCAGAGGAGAATTTTAAAAATAAAGCCTTGGCTGTCAGGAGATAGTAAATAAAATTTCAAGGTAAGGGCATAGAATAGTTGCAGAATTTCATCACAGTAATAATGTCTGAATAAAATAATCTGTTGCCAAAAAGGTTTAGGTGTGGCAGGACTGGAAGAAACTATAAAATGTGAGTCTTGATCCTGAAGTAGCACCTGTGCTAAGCCTGCACACACCATTCAGAGAACACTCACAGGGAGAGACAGATCCCAACAAGAGGTTTTGACCTTGTTGTGAGGTCCACCTGGAACCTTTCTTTCCTCCCCTGCTTAAAAGGCCTTTGTTTTACATTGAAACTCATAAAAATAGCTGTGACTGTACATATGGAACTAACACGAATAAATTGGCTATGTTAAAACAAAACAAGCCATGTTCATACATAATGAACATGAAGACTTGCTGATGTACAATTCCTGAGGCTCCTGACTGTAACTCCTCCTTGTAGCAAACAGGACTCCAGAGCCACAGGACTCTGCTGCTCAGAATAACACTGATTTTAAGAACAGAGAGAACACACCCTCTCCTGCCACAGGACAGTGCCACACAGCCTGAAGATTCCCAGTGAGCTTTACCAGTTTTCATTCACCAAGACTCTTTTTCCAGCCTTAGATC